GCTGAGAGATGGCGTTCACTCGGCTTCCTCCTAACTTACGTTCTTACAGTACTTAAACGGCCGTCACCCAAGGATTAAGTTCACTAGGGAAGTAGAGACAGACGGCACACTTCCATTCTTGGATGTAAACGTCAGGAGGTCTGGGGACAGATTCGTCACCTCTGTTTTCAGGAAACCGTCTTTCACTGGACTAGGTTTGAGCTTTTTTAGCTTTATTCCCAAGGCGATCAAGGCGGCAGTATTACAATCGGCCATCCACAGAGCTTACAAGCTATGCTCCAGTTATCAACTTGTTGATTGTGAGCTTAACTTCCTGAGATCTTTCTTCAAAAATAATGTTTTTCCTTCTCCTCTTATCCATTTTGAAGTGAGGAAATTCCTCAACAAACAATACGATCTGGTACCAGTATCTTTTGATGTGCCCAAGCTCAGCAAATACGTGACTTTCCCGTATACCTTGGAGAACAGTCTCAAGCTTTAAAACATGCTATTACCGATTTACTGACTACCTACTACCCAATATGCTCAATTTCGTATCGTTCTGAGGAACCGGTTGACGATAGGCTCTTTTTTCAAATACAAAGATAGAGTTCCCAAAGTGTGCTGCTCTGGCGTGGTATACAAATTCTGTTGCCCCTCGTGCGGGAGGTCGTACATTGGTTCTACCAGTGCACGCCTTAACACCAGAGTAAGCCAGCATTTAGGAATCTCTGAGAGAACGGGTAAAATGCTAACATCTCCTCCCCAGTCATCTGTTAGAAACCATTCAGATGAGTGTGACACCCGCTTTTCAATTTCGGATTTTCAGATACTAGGAAGACCGCCTACAGCTATGGGCCTTAGAACGCTCGAATCTTTGTAGGTACATACATAGGGAAAAACCAAGCTTAAATGGCAAAAACTCAGCTGTGCCCCTTCAGATTGTTACATAGACAATGTCCACCACCTGGTGCTTTATTCTTGAAGTGCCTTGAGGTATGAAGCACCTGAGTTTTTGGCATCTTTTTCAAGTAGGTCAGTGAGAGTCTCAAGCGATTTTAAAAAGACTGTAACGATTGATCCAAGTGTTGCAACGATGTAGCGATTTGTGAATTTTGAACGACTACGATTTTTTTGTATTAGCTTTGTAATGTCTTGTATCATTAACCCGCGCACCGACGGGGGGGGGGGGCGGATATCCGCCCCCCCCCTGAGGTTTTTCGCGAATAGCGGGAAAACCGTGGCGCCGAAATTTTGTATGACTATTCCCTCATCAATTTTACACATGGTGTGCAAGTTTGAACCTCCTACCTTTCAAGGTCAGGTCACCAGGTCACTTTGAGGACCCAACCTCAAGTCACTTTTTTGCAACTTTGTCACCGTGCCAGAGCTACAGTAGATGTCAGAGGCCTTTGAAAGTCGCAGGATGTTATTAGGTTATTAGTAGCTACAATTTGTATATCTCGGAATTTTGATATCGGTGACCTAAGGTCAGGTCAATTTCGCGACCTCCCCATTATAAGTCAATGGGGGAAAAATCAACTCCCTGTTTTTACCATTAAAACGGGTCGGAATGGTCCCATATACCATACATGACTACGATGACTATACATGAATACGATCAACCTTCACTACCTTGAGGTCAGTTTTGCTCTTGGGCAGCTGTAAGGTCATGTGACGTCATCAAAGGTCACCAAAGGTTTTTTGCCAATAACTCCGTACAGGAACAAGATACAGCCGCGCGGATGGTCTCATTGTGTTCAGCTTGTCAAGACGCATCGAATGATATACATGATGACCTCGAGGTCACGTGACCTGAGGTCAACCTTTGGCCTTGACCTTTCGAGGTCAACATATATATCATTCGATGCGGATTGACGAGAGGATTACGATGATGCCCTTAGTTTGTTCCTATCTTGACTAATTCGAAAGTTATTCGAGAAAAACTCTCTCCATATCTAGCGCCGCCATTTTGACTTTTTCGACCTCTGTGGCGTCATCTTTGACCTGACCTGAAAATGACCTTAGTAAAAATTGTAGATCTTGACCGTGCGTATCCGATGCCGTTTACCGCTTGTCGCTATCTTGCTTCGTTCTCGAGATCTCAGGGGGGGGGGCGGTCATCCGCCCCCCCCCCCGTCGGTGCGAAGTTGGCGCAGACCCCCGTCGGTGCGCGGGTTAATGTAACATGTACGAGTATGCCCACTGATGATGGTACTGAAACGTGCCGAAACCGGTCTGGAATATGATAACTGCCTTGAGCTGTCTTTTGGTGAGGTTTATTTTACTTCTCTCGCTAGATGGCAGGCCTGATCCCAATGTCGCGGATCCCAATGTTAATTTCCACGAGACACCAATCCAGTGTTATATCCAAGATCCATGGTCACACTATATCCTCTACACGTTTGTGAGTACTATAGAAGTGAATGATTTCCATTTCCGTGGAAAGTGATCTGTTGAAATTTAACATAGGTGCAAAATGTTATAAAAGGGTTAATTTTTTCAATGCATTGCTTTAATGTGCAATATGCACTGCATGCCTTACTCTCTTTGAGTGTTAACCATGCCCTACTCGCATAACAGGCAGCATTAGTGTATGGTTACGATCGCAAAACAAGCCAATACAATTATAAAAATAAATTTTGAATGGAAACGGTTGAAAAATATTAGGCCTTTTCATGCAATGACAACGTTGACAATCTTTGCAACGTTCCGCAACGTTACTGGTTGATCTCATTACAATTGAAAATTGCTCCTGCATTTGCATATAGCTTAGCTAACCGTGATGAAGCTTTTGTGTTCTTGTCTGCACTTCAATGAGAAGTATTTTCCTAAAAAAATGCCAACGAGCTGCATTTTCAGATACGGAAATTTGATATCAGAATCGTATATTTACAATACAGCGTTTGACGACAAAGCACGCCCGCCTGACTCGCATTCCATTGCACGGTGATTTTACCTTCAGCACACAGTGGTAGCAGCGCTATAGTACCTATATGAAGATGGCGGAAAAGAGACAACACTTGATACACACGCACACACTGCCTTTGGTCATTAGAGCATCATAACTGTAACTAGCATGGCTAACAACAAATATGGATATGTTATTTATTGAATAAATACAGGCGCGAAAAGCAATCAATTACACTGACCGTATTCAGATGGTCACTGGCGAACTGAGCTGGGAGACTATTCCATTTATTGGAGTCATCTATATCAACTGTATTAGAGCATCGATGTGTTGTTTGTAGCGTGCCATTTGTTTAGAGCTAACTAGTCCGTTGCCCCAAAGGCTATAAGTCTATTATTTATAAGAACATTCCATAAACAACAGAAAATGTGAGTGGCAATGCAATAAAACCGCGTTTGGTTTCATCAGCACCTTTTTATCGCCAGTACCAAAAACTTTACCATTGTTTTGCGCAGTGGCACATCAAATGATTATTTTAGGATTATGTGAACGAAAATTTGATATCCGTTGTAGGCTACCTAAAGAGTCAGTATGTTTTTGGAAAGAATAACTGTTTCAAATGAACTCTGTCTACTGTTTTATCTTTATCGTTAAACATTTTTCTAATTTCTTCTTTTCGAGCCAAAGGCAGCATGGGTATAAAAAAGCAAAAGCAAAAAATGCAGAAGTATTATAGCATTGTTAACAGATATTTGAAAGAAATAAATAGTCAAAGAAAGCGGATGAAGTCCCGTGAATCCTGACGGGTTATTGAAGCCAGACCAGTTACTTTATATTTGATTTTCATTTATTTGATTTTTGACCGAGATATGTTTGATGCACCTACTTTTTCTTTGAATTTAGTGGATAATTCAAAATTCATTAACCTTCGCCCCAGTGGGGGGGGGGGGGGGGGACATATGTTACCACCCTGTCGCGTTTTTTTTTTTGCGTGTGAATAAAAAACCGCGGCGCGTAGCGCCGTGCCGCTTGGGGTAGCTTTTTGTACATCAATTTTGGACAACGTGAGAAATTTTTGACCCCAGGTCATGTCAGGTCAGGTCACCAGGTCAAGTTAGCTGACCAAGCCTTAAAAAAAGTTTGCAATCATGTCCAGCCTGCAATGTTTGTCAGAAAGGTTTTAAACTTGGTGGATTGCATAATGTTATGGGCGCCTACAATTTGTATATCTCGGATTTTGTATACCCGTGACCTAAGGTCAGGTCAGTGGCGTGACCTTACCATTATAAGTCAATGGAGAAAAATGAAAATGCCTCTAGATCCGTGTGTACGCATAGGAACAGTCCAAATATTTCAGAATCACAATGATTTGGGCCACCCGTGACGACCAAGTTGTCTTTTTTTGCCGATAGCCTCTAGAAAGGTCATCCGAGGTCATTTTAGGCTACAAACAGATTTTTGCCAATAACTCTAAATTGGAAAGAGATAGGACGCTGGGGATGGTCTTATTGTGTTTGTCTTGTTGAGACGCATCGAATGATATGCAACATGACCTTTTCCGGTCAGGTCGTGACCTTGACCTGAGGTCAAATTTTCAAGTTGACCTTTCAAGGTCAAATTATAGTTCATTCGACGCGTCTCGGCGAGAGAAACACGATTCTGGCAATAGAAATGTTATGGCTTTTTTAAGTCAAAAGTTATTGTCGAAAAACACATTTCGTAAAAACAGCTATTTTTGGAGTTTTTGCCCTCTGAAGGCTAAACCGTTGACCTAAGGTCAATTTTGATAATGACGTTATCAAAAGAAGAGTTCAAAAGCTATCGATTGCTTTTCCTTGCGTTTTTCTAGCTATCATAGTTCCTGAGATAAATGCATGTTTTCTGAGAAATATAATGACATTTGGCAAATTTTGACCTTTAATGACCTCCAGTGACCCCAATATTGCTCTAAGATGAAAAATGACTGAAATATTTTCAAACGTACGCATTGAGAGCTATCGACTGCTTTTTACCGCGTCTTTCTAGCCCTCTTAGTTTTTGAGTTAGAGGTGGGTGGTAGCATATGCCCCCCCCCCCCCCCCACTAGGGCGAAGTTGGCTGAGACCGCCACTGAGGCGCGGTGAATTGGCTAAATAGCTTCTCATTTAAATGAGATCATGAATGTGATGTTGTTGACACCACTTTTGATAGTTCAAATAAACAACATGCATCTGAAAATTATGAACACCGTTAATATGGAAAATAAATATTGCGCTGTAAAATGTGTTGCAACTCCTACCCTGCCTTTTGTGTCGGTTTGTGGATATCTAACTGAAAGAAGTTGAAGGACGCTCTAACCTCACACATTTCTACCAGCACGGTATGTCCGGCGTTACCGCTCACTAGCTGTGGCTCGACTTCATTCATCCATCGTCCGGGCTCGCCAGGAGCTCCTCGAGCTCCTAATAGTCCGGAGCCCGCACGGCGGACCCTGCGCGCACGTGCATGACAACGACGTGTAACACCAGAGCTTGTCCGAATCGCTACAGCAGAGTCTGCACCGCACGGCGCAGCCTACGGCATCCCGCGCACGCTCACCACCCGCGTGAGCACAGACAGTCCAGGAATCGGCTCCCATGGGAGTCCAACGGTGGCGCCGGCAGGCAGAATGTACAACACTTTGCCAAGACGCGGCTTATCATCTGCAGCACTCCGTTCCTGACGGAGTCGAGTCGCCCGACGCGCTGACGACGTTCAAACTTTTGTCAAACTTGTGCCGACGAGCGCGCGCGTTGCGATCGCCATGGTCCGCAGCGACTTTGTACGATTCATCACGCCCGTACAAAACTCTTATCACCTGATGCCGGCGACGATGTCTCTCGGCGCCCTGGCCGAGCTGCGACGTCGCTGACCGCACGGGGCGCGGCGCCACCGCACCGGCTCACTTGAATAGGATACGCCGGAACGCGCGACGGAAATCCTTGTTGAAGATAGTGTATATGACCGGATTTAGAGCCGAGTTCATGTAACCCAACCAAAAGGCGAAAGCGAAGCCCCAGTCTGCCACGTGGCATGAGCTACACAGCGGTACCAGCACGTACAGGAAGAAGAACGGCAGCCAGCAAGCGATGAACGAGCCCATGATGAGGCCCAGGATTAGCGTGGCGCGTTTCTCCTTTTTCCTGGCGATGCGCCGTTTCTCGCGGTCGGGGTCTCTGTGCCGGACAGCCACCTCCACGGCCGGTGCGTCGGACACGGCCGGAGTCTCGACCCGCACCTTCAGCCGACCCATGTCAATCATCTCGCGCTTAGCCTTGGATGTTTTCCGGCCCCAGACGGGCGCGCGCAGGTGGCGGCGCAGCGGCAGCACGGCGTTACAGCGGCTCGCCTGTGGCCCCGAGTCAGACGAGGAGCGCTCCGGCTCGGCGCTGCACTCGGAGATGGGTGTTCGGCCGTTAGGCTCGCTGTCCACCGGCACCACGGCCAGCGGCGGCGCCGCCGACGGCACCGCCGGCGCCGCCCGGCGACTGCCGCCGCGCGACGGCGGCGCACCCTCGCTGCCGGCGCTCGACTTACGACTGTCGGTGTCACCGCTAGGCGGCATGCTGTGGTGCACCTCGACGGCTGTTTGAGGTGTGGGCGGCACGGGCCCGGCGCGCGGCCGGCGCTTCACGTAGCGACGCGCGCGGCTCCGAGCCGCGAAGTAGATACGGATGTAGACGAAGATCATGATGATGGAGGGCACGTAGAAGCTGCCCAGCGCCGAGTAGAGCACGTAGCCGATGTCCTTGGAGAGCTGTAACAGACAGAGAGGGACAGCCGTCAGTGGCGGCAGCGACACTCTCTAACCGGGCCTTTGTCGGCCGGTCCAGCGAGTCGGCGCCGCAGCGACAAAATCAATAGCTGGTAATTGACTGCCGGCGCCGGCCGCTGGCAATAGCCGCTCGTCTGTCGCCTTTTAATCTACGGCGTCCTAATTGGCAGCACATTATCTTATTAGCAGCTATTGACATTTAATGACACTAAATTCTCACGTCATCCCGTCAAACGGCCCCACCAGTTGAAAGTATCCTTTCCGTGAGCCTGTTGGGGGCACTCCGAACACCGAAATGGCCGGGTACGGTCATGGGCGTGGTATTTGATGACCCTGTCAAGATGCGGTGAGACCATGACCACCGCGGGTCGTGTCGGTGGACGTCGGGGCCTGTTTTCTGGCGTCGGCGCCACGTTACGTCATCTGCGCTGATTAGCATGCGGCCAGCAGACGTAAACAGGGTGCGGCACGACCGGGCAGCGGCGGCCGTCAGTCTCCGCGCGTTATGGGAGGAACCAATACCGACGCCCCGCCCCGCCCCTCCCCTCTGCTGTCCGCCCAGCCCGCGCAGCCCGCCGCAGCTCAGTACACAGGCCTGCGTCGCCACACGCAGTCGCTGGCTGCCCGTCGAACGAGCGCTCACCCAGCGAGCATCGATTGTCGTTAGACGCTGCACGGCTCTCGATGACAAGCTGTGTCCGTCTCTGCGCCCTGCTTTATCAGGGCACCTCTCGTACGGGCAGCGGCGCGGCAGAGCGATGGGGCTCTGCCGGCGCGGCGTCCGCCGTCTGCCCCGCCCCCGGAGACGACTGGACGCCGCCGCGCCTCGACAGATGGCCACGGAGATCTGCCGCGCTGTGATTTCCCCACAGACCCGCGGGTGCCCTGCGACGCCAGTCCCACTGCACCGGCTGTCTCCGTCGGCCAGACACCCTTTGATCTTTATTATATGCCACGATGACAATTTCCATCTCACATTCCAATTGTGTGTTTTGAACATTATCCCTCAGAATGGCGTCTCCTGCTTGTCGTAATCCCTGTCAGTTAATCCGGTGACGATTCCATTCCTTTGGATGACCCTTTGGAGGCAAGTTTTCCAGACGTTTCATCTTTACCCAAGATCTCCCCGTGGACACATTGGGGCTCATTTCTCTCCAACTAATCCGGCTGCCTTCGCCCTATTTCATCACATCTGACACCTTGTTCCCATTCATATCGAGTCCATTTGTCGGCAGTCGAGTCATCCCGCGCCCTTCGTCTTCCAGCCTGTTTAATCCCTCTTTCCCTTCTCCTCTCTCCCGACCAGTTCACTCTTCCCTGCTCCTGGGTTTAGCATATAACTCTACAATTTTCGTTGATCTTCTTAATGAGAAGAATTAAATTGGGGTTTCAATTCCTCGCCTGCATTCATCTGACGAGTTTTTCACAATGATGTGGACTAGAAAAAATAAGGGTTAGGACGTACACTTATTATTGTCTCTTGTAGGTTCCAAAGCCATCAAATTTGCATGATGATAGTGGAGGTTCCTGGTGGCCAGAATTGGACATATAGGTGGTGGAAAATCTATGTGATTAAGCCATAACTGGAAGCCCAGGAAGACTACAAACTTGTTATATCCGTATTCCGCAGCAATGAATGCTGCATGTTCTGATGACGTCAGCTAGTGGTGAGCTAAGGTCAGAGGTTCGGCCGCGGAGTCCGCTCCCGGCGCGGCGGTGCCGACCCGTCTGGTCGCCCGGCGCTGACGTCACGCTCGTCGGTGACTGCCGCGGCCCGTCGTCGTCGCGATAACTCAGCGGCCAGCACCGCACCGCCGTTATGAAGCCCCGGCGGAATTTTTGTAATTACGTTTGAGGTGCTTGATGTGCCAAATAAAGTGGTGCGCCGCCGGCGGCCGCTTAGGGCGCCGCCGCGCTGACGAGTGCCGCTCGGCCGAGGCAGCCGGCGCGGCGCCGGCCGCCGGGCTTCCCTATAGCTCGTAGCGCAGCCAGCGCCGCCGTAGCCAGAAATTGAACGTCCTGATCCAACTATAGAACACTGCGTCATGACGACTCCACCGCAGAGGTATGACCAAGTGTCTTCTGTTATTAGAAGGCCATTAATATAGAGTGAAATAATGAACTTAAGTTTTAAAATCACGCACCGGCAGCGCCGAAACCGTTTTGCAGTGCCAGCTCGACCGTAATTAATTCACGGGCAGCAGCAGGGAGACACGTGGGAGCCAGCACGACGTAGTTCAGATATGCTGGCTATGCTGACAACAAGATAACATCGTAAAAGTGAGCGAATGAATTTGTGGGCCTATAAATTTCGGTTATGAAAACAACCTGTAGGAAGTCACTTCCAAACACACAGAGTGGCTTCCGAGGTTTTGTCGGAGATGATACCTCTGTTTATTGCTTTTGACACCATACATAATATGCATGAATTATTTTTAGCGCTGTCTTACATTTAAATAATCTATTAGGAGGGATTGAACTACAAATGTGGTTCAGAAATAGAAATGGTTACATTTAGCGGAGTATTTAATGCACAGCACAAAATGTAAACTTTAGATCGAAGGCTGCTGGAAGACTGGAGGAACGGTCCAGCGGCATTTCATTTGCATACGTAGGGTTGCTAACTAGTTTCAATTGGGCCAGATATTATTCTGCTTCTATTCAATTTACTTTCGTTTCTTCAGTTATGCATTGAGTTCCGCCGCACTTGGAAAACCGACGTTTGTTGCAGACTTGTTGAAGGTGACCTTTGATTGGACCGTCACGGGCGGCTCTCACAAGGACCCAACGTGTTGATTCAAACACACCTGTTTGAGTAATCGATGCAAACCGCACAACCCTACCCTACATCGCACGCGGCACCTGTATCGGCTTTCCTGTCGCTCGAACTCGCGGCTGCGCGAGGAGCGGGAGCATGCTGTGCCGCAGAGCGTCTATGTCGTGCGGCACAGTCTACCTGTACAGGCAAGTTCGCTGCGACACGGCGCGCCACAGCAGACGAAGGGGAAGGAGGCGGAACTGTGTGAACTAACGGGAAGTTATGAAGCACGGAGTCGACAGGTGTTTTTGTTTGATAGCTGCCAACTTTTCTTGTCTGAATCAAGCCTCATTCGCCAACATTTTTCTTTGGAAGACTTGTTTATTGTCTTTGTGAAGTGTTTTAGCAGTGTAGTTATGTGCTAAATTGGAGATCCGTGGAACAAACAAGGCCTGTGCTCTGTTGGAGGCTGACACCTCCGGAGCTCCGGGTGTCTGGCAGGCGAGTGTAGCGCGCACTCCTGGCGTGCCCTCAGGCGAGCCGCCACACCGCCAGCGTCTGTAAAACAATAACTGGGCCGGCCGCTAAAACGATGAGCCTGCCAGTGGGCTGTCTGCGGGGACGGATGGTGGCCGCCGGCGGTGGCTCCGTCCTCGCGGCTCACGTCGGCCGCCGCTCTGTCACCCAGCGGGGCTCGGCGACGGAGGTAGTCGCCCTCAGCCATCAGCGAGGCCCACCTGTCACCGCGCAGAGCTGACGGTACTGACACAGCGCGGCACACGGCACAGAGCTGACGGTACTGACACAGTGCGGCACACGGTACAGAGCTGACGGTGCTGACTGACACAGTGCGGCACACGGTACAGAGCTGACGGTACTGACACAGTGCGGCACACGGTACAGAGCTGACGGTGCTGACTGACACAGTGCGGCACACGGTACAGTGCTGACGGTACTGACACAGTGCGGCACACGGTACAGAGCTGACGGTGCTGACTGACACAGTGCGGCACACGGTACAGAGCTGACGGTGCTGACACAGTGCGGCACACGGTACAGTGCTGACGGTACTGACTGACACAGTGCGGCACACGGTACAGTGCTGACGGTACTGACACAGTGCGGCACACGGTACAGTGCTGCCGGCACTGACACAGTGCGGCACACGGTACAGTGCTGACGGTGCTGACACAGTGCGGCACACGGTACAGTGCTGACGGTACTGACACAGTGTGGCACACGGTACAGAGCTGACGGTGCTGACACAGTGCGGCACACGGTACAGAGCCGGCGGGAGCGACATTGCGGCACACGGTACAGACTACAGAGTCGCTGCGGCGTACCGCATGTGGCCGGCGGGTCTGATGCGGCACACGGTAGAGAGTCGACGGGGCCAACGCTGTGGCAGTTGTGGATAGTCGCAAATACTCTTATTTTCCTCAATTTAGCTCAACACCTGGCCTCCGAGCCATTGCTCTGAGACATGTATAAGACTCATCACTTGAAAAGATGCCCCGGACGATGAAACCACAGTGTCACAGGCTATATGTTTTACTCCGTGCCGAGACAATGTACTCTAAATATCAGCTATTAACTACGTCAAATAATTTGCCAGCCTTCGGTAGTATCGGCCAACCGTACACGGTGAACCGGCCCTTTGCCTTATGTCGCGTAAATAGATAGGGAGAGCGATGCGCTGTCGCCATGAAGACTGCTGGGGCACTGATGCTGCGGGCATTATCTGAATTGAACTCCGACAGGAAATAGATTGGATGTGATCCTTAACCGTCTATCCGTCTTAAACCGTCCTCTGCATAAAACATTACTTTGATTTTCAGTGAAAACGGGTAACGTATTGTCGCCGAAATGCCTGCCACATTTACATGATAAAACCAGTCACAAAGTGCATTCAAACCGCAATGTAGCTCTCCGCAGCTAAAATGAAGTGAGTTGTCCTCGACATTGGGAGAGCTGAGGCGATGGTAGAGTGGAATCTGCCATCAAGACAGCATGCATGTACGTGTTTATACCCTTTCTCTTTGGGATGTTAGCACCTTCTACCAGCCATTGACCCGTGTTACGGCTTGGAAACTGGTCTTCAAGCATTTGTCTATGTAACCCTTAGCTGACAATATAGCAATTCCACTTCCATACAACTTGAGCACAGTACTCGCGAACTTCTCCTGCCTGCCTCGTTTGGTTGCTGATGGTCTAATTGACCTGT